AAAGTTGTAATTTACATTTAGATAAATCTTGCTTCTTTAAATGTAGCAGTACAATGCCTATCATTTCTGCCTTAATCTAAAGGAATTCTCTACTTTTACTTTACCATTTTTGGGTCTGCTTTATCTCATCCACTAAAGATTAACAAAAAAATCAAGATGTTATATTAAGTTGGCATTCTGGCTGTGGTTCTGAGGGATAGAATATAGGTCATTGCCAGCCCCCTGTTTAGAACTCAGTGAGGTGAGAGGGTCTTGCTGATGCGAGCCCATTCTGCGCATGCCTTCTCTGCCTTCACTGTATTTGTGGTGTTTATACTATGTCAGATTTTATTAAGATGAATTATGATCATTTCCATACAGCTGGGTGGCAGTTGTGGGAGTTTACATTATCAAAGCAAAACTCAGACTTGCTTAGCCAATTTAGATGTCAATAAAACATTTGTTACTTATTTTCAGTTTTATCATTGGCTGTAATTTATACTTAGAATTGAAAATGTTAACATGTGTGACTGAGTTTGTTTTAATTAAGTGTATAATTAGGCTAATGAACCTTGTAAAAATGTAGTGGTGCAATCCTTAATATAATCTAAGCAGTTAAATTTGTAATTATGCATCCAAAATCACGTACAGAGATGCCGCCTTTCAATGGCTTGCTCTCTGGGGCTGTATTCTTGGGGGTTAAGGAACATTGTACAAAAGCCATGATGAAAGACTTCAAAGAAAAGTGTGTATTTGCCTCTTTTTTCTTTTAGGAAAATTATTCAGAAGTGGGATTTGTTCATAGTGGACATAGTGTTTTTTTCCCTAAATTTTTGAAAAGGTAGAAGGACCAGGGGAGAGGAGTAGATGTGGGGATGTTTCCGATTTACCAGAAGAAGTCCACTCGTTCAGAAAGCATCTTGCCAAGTCGGGTTCACATTAGATTCATGCAGGAGGTGAAGAGGTCTGTCCCCTGTACCCCTGAGCCCTGTAGCCATGGCGTCACAGAGCCGCCCTCCCTGCTATGTTAATAATACACCTGCTCGTCCTCCTGTGCCAGCCAGCACAGCCAGGCTGGTGCTTCTGTCCCTGGACTGTTCCCCACAGCAGAGCTTCCACCCCTCCCCCAACTCTTCTCGTCCTGCTCCCCTCTCCTATTTTTTGCAAAGTGGCTTCATCTTCTGCTGGAAAGTGGTTGCCCTAGTAAGGAATTCTGGTACTAACTGCCAAGAAGAAAATCCATTGTCCACTCCTGTAGAGCGACATGCCAAAATGCTCTGACCTTTACGACCTTCAATCATTTTCTCTAATAAGAGTGTTATGGGAACCACAACACCATCAGTACTCATTTCTTTATTCCTTTAGAAGGAATTCTAGTTGCTGCTTGAATTTGCAGAATAGATCCCTAAAACTTGTTTCTAATTGTGCTATCCGAGTCGCCTTTCCCGGGGCGGTGGCGGGTGCGGAGATGTAACTGCTGGCACACACACGTTTTTCAGGAAGATGAAAGTCTCTGTTATTACTTCCCGTTGATTTCCCTTCAGAGGGCCCTCTTCATTCTCAGTCTGGCTGTTATGTTATCAGTTCAATTTTCCTGTAAAGTTTTTTTGATAATTCATCCCCATTCCTTTTGTAATCACTTTCACCTAGTGAAGCAAATGAGATAATTTTGCAGATTGTACCATTTTCCTTTTAAATTAATCCATTCTTTTGGAGAGGGTGATTCTAATAGTGTGGTCAAGTACTTAGAAATCAGCAAGCTACTAAGTTCTCCTTAATTCATTCTGTTCCGTTGATTCCCTGATCACTTGCTGTGTCAGTCAGGGTGAAATTCTTCCCCTTCTGCTCCTCTACGCATCCCCCCCAGCCTACCCCCATCCGCTCTCGAGCCTCTAGTGCTGAGAAAGAGGATTCTGAGGTTTTTGCAACTACGTTTACAACGTTGGATTCTAAAACCTCATTTAATAAATGTCTGCAATATTTCATGTAAATGCGATAGCGTATTTGTTTATGATTTGTAACATTTTTACTGTATCTTAGGATTACTCATGCATTTGCCCATATATGAGGGCTTGTATAGAAAGACAAGTCATTCAGTGAATGAAGCATGTCAGGCCTTTTTACTGTGGATTATTATTGTAGAATGATTCCCATGGGGAAAAAAAGTAGATTTAAGAAAAGGAAAATGATTACCTAGATGAATATAAATCTATAGACCTATTCATCTGAAAAATATTAAAGCCACTTCTGAGAATTAAATTACAGATTTCCAAGTTATATTATTTAAATTGTCATAGATACTGAAAGGTTCTATTGGAGATAAATTTATAAATTTGAACAAATGACTGGTACTAGTTACCTGCTAAGTAATTTCCATTAAACATAGTCTCTCTCTCTCTATTTCTCAAAAAATATTCTGTGGACTATTTTGGAATACACAAATACACAAATTTCAGAATACATAAAGGCATAATAATTTTCAGTCACTTTAGATCACAGAAATGTTGTAACCATATTAAGAAATCACTCACGATCTCACCAATTAAAAACTAATTAATTAACTGGAGTGACTCTTGGTAGGGCATATTTTGGTCTGCAGAGGCAGCTTTTAGCAACAGGTGTGGTACCAAGCTGTGGCTCTGTTAAGACTGCCCATGGGTGGCCAAGTCATCTTTGCCTTCCCCTGTGCTCTCACATGGCTGCTTGGATGGCAAAGTGGCCCAATGTCTTCTTCTCATTCCACTATTACCAACAACTGTGATTTAATTTGATTTCTCTAATTATTTTGTCCCATTCAACAGAGTCATAGGTATATCTTAATGATGGGATGCTTTTGATAGAACACTTTGTTCAGTCGCCCATAGAGACAAATGAACAGTAGGGAAGCTTGGGGAGATAGATTGTGGGCTTGGTGACATTTTAGTGGTCACTTAATTATTGGTGTGGCACATTAAGAGATCGCTTCCTGCCAAGTAGGAGCTCAGACAGTTAAGTTGCTCATGCTGCTGCGTCAGTGTACTTTTTCTTATCTTTGAGCTGAGAGAATTTTTATATTTATTTATCAGTGGTTCCAATATACGGTGGCAAGTAACTAAAAATGACCTACGTCATATTTTTTCATTAGTCACCAAGCTTCTTAGACTCTTGCACTAGTAGGTGCTAATCCCCAAATAGTAACATGACAAAAGACAGTTTAAATGTTAGCTCCTCTTACTCTTGTAGGTAGGTATGCTTAACCATAGTAAAACACCATGCCTCTTTGTTATATTTAATAATAAAGATTAGAATGAAGTTAAGCAGTGACTCAGTAAATGTTTATCAAAGAAAGAAGGTTAAACTGCAAAATAACAAGCAAAAAAAAAAGGACCTTTGCTTTATTTCAATTCATTTCAGCTCAGTCCTATATTTGGTATAAGTGACACAGTCATGAAATAAAGGATCCGAATCTGGATTTTATTTCACTTATTCTATTTTGCAAAAGGCTTATTAGAAATAGGAGGCTTGTTTGCTTCAGCTAAACTCAAGCACCCATTCATTCAGTTGTCATTTGTCAAGACCTTACTACGAGCTGAGTGCTGGAGCATGTATTGCTGAGTCCCACCTTCCCCACCTTCCAGGAGCTGACAGTGCAACAGTAGAGATAAGGTGTGTGTACAAGTAACAGTAGCAGGGGAGCGAGACCAACAACAACAATTACTGCAAAGGTTTAAAAGAAGAAGCACGCTATCTATTGGAGTATCTTTCCACTGGAAAGCATATACAGGGTACTGCAAATTGTACTCCATTGGAAAATACAGACAGGCGATTGGAAATGATGGTGTCCTCAACTTGAATTTATTCAGGATTCTAAACGCTGGTTTCTTTTTCTTTTTCTTTTTTTTAATTTTTTGGCCGCATTGTGCAGCATGTGGGATCTTAGTTCCCTGACCAAGGGTTGAATCCAAACCTTCTGCATTGGAAGCACAGAGTCTTAACCGCTGGACCACCAGGGAAGTCCCCTAAATGCTAGTTTCTGTATGGGCATTTTTTTTTTCATCTCTAAATATTAGGATTATGAAAGAAAATGGAAACTTGGGACAAGCCAAAAATAAGTTCATAAAAATTTTAACACGATCATAATACAGATTATATGCTAACCGTCAGTTAAGTCAGAGCATCAGAACTAGGTGGAGATTCCTATTTTGTGTCAAGCTGTGTACATATATAGTGTTTCTTATTTGTCCCAGGGTATAAAGAATGTCCACCCTGTCCGTCAAGGAGTTAGTGCTCTAGACCAAGTACATTTGTAATAATAATTTTTTTTTTTTTTCCTCCATCTTGGTCTCTAAAAGTTCATTTGGGCTTTTCTTTTGACTTGAAATTTGAGTACACAGGGAGGGGTGAATGGTGACCAGCATTATTGGAAGCTGTCGCTGGCTTTCTATTTTCTTCTGGTGGGAATAATGGCAACAACTTACTTACTTCGGGGAGATCTAAGAAGTTTTGAAATTCAGAACATGAGGCATTACCAAATTCAGATGCCAAGAATGGAGACTCTTCTATTTTTGGAATCTTCCCAATTTTCCATCTCATGTACAGGTTAGCCTCTCCTTGTTACCTTTCCTTTCATGGAAAGGTGGGGCTGCCATCAGCACTGTACCAGCTAGCTTAAAACAGAAAACTGCCAGAGCTGCTCGCAGTCCATGCTCATCCATGCTGCCCACTGCCACGGCCAGGAGCCATCAGGCCAGCTCTGCCGGGAGCATTTTTAAGCGTAGAGAGAAGTGTACGATTTGTTTCAGAAGCATAACACTGACACTCCAGAAACGATTGTTCATATTTATTGAAAGGATCCCTTTCTACACACCGTTTTATACTGTTGTGATTTCTGTGTTGGTGTTATTTTTAAATGTCTGAATAGCAATTTAATGCACCCCTTTATTAGGCAGTCTTTGTAAGTATAATCCCGCCATTAAAGCAGTAGGGCATTGTGCACGGTGGAAATATTACATGTGTAATGATTTGCATTCTTAATGTTCCAGAACCCTGGGGTTATTAGTAAAACGATTGGAGAAAGGTGGTAAAGCTGAACAAGAAAACCTTTTTCATGAGAATGATTGCATTGTCAGGATTAATGATGGCGACCTTCGAAATAGAAGATTTGAACAGTAAGTGTGTGCTGCCTCATTGCTTCTCTTTTCCTGCATCAGGCGTGACAGAGTGCAGGCGATTGGGGTACCTCAGACCATATGTCTGTGGTCTCTGCCTTCATGCTGGAGAGGAGTCTTTTCTGCCATTATCTAGCTTTTAAAAATTACATCAAACTCCAGGTAATCACCATCATTAGACTATGTTTCCAAATGCCCTCTGAGTGACGCAGCACTTCTTAAAATATTATGGGCCCAATTTAGGCTTTACGGTTTGGCCACTTCCTCGCCTTTTGGAATATTCATCAGGTTGCTAGTTTTTATTATACTTTTAACTCACACGTCCAACTATGTCACATATAATGTGACAAATAGGAAGACAAAGCTCCTTGGACCTGCCGTGTCCACTCAGATTTTCCTTATCCTGACTCAAGCCCTTACTCCATTAAAAAGATAAAAATTGTCCAGTTCCTATGAAACAAGGCAAAAATGAGCAGAAATCATAAGGACTTGGTTAAAGACCTGACTAGGGATCCAGATAAGATGGTGTAGCTTCTTGGGCTGGTCTTGGAATAGCACAGTGACCATCGGCTCTTCATTTTGAGT